CTCTCTCTCTCTCTCTCTCTCTCTCTCTCTCTTTCTCACCCTGTGTGTGTGTGTTTGTGTGTGTGTGTGTGTTACTTGAGGGAGGGGTGGATCTGATTTTGATTCTTAATGTCTTTCGAATGTTTTGATCATTTAAAGTTGAAATTTTAACATATTAACTGATATTTAACGACAGTGTTATCATTGCAATAAAGTATAGTCCAAACGTCCCGTCAGTTACCGTGGAATAGCCCATTACTTACTGGCGACTGGAGGCCCTGTGAAGGTTCCGAGACCGTTGGACAACATGAGATACCCCAGGCCGTTGCCCAGACTCTCCACACCAATGATGTCTGTCAGCAACACCAGCAGGAGGCCGAGGACGATGCCGAACGCAAAGCCCGCCAGAACCAGACAGGATGTGTACACAGCGAACCTCTGGATGCTCGGGAAGGCGATGGTGACCACGCCCATCACGATATTCGCCGCTGTGTACAATCCGTGGCGACTGACGCACTTGAGGTTGCCGAATACCCCTCCCAGAACCCCACCGATGAAGCAAGCGAGGCCGAAGGCGCCACTAAGCCATGCCGCTTCCATAAGAGTGAGACCCTTCTCGCGGAGAAATTCCGGGGCGAAGGCTTGGATTATGGCGTACCCGGCGTTCCATAGAATGTTGCTGAGGAAGTAGATGTTGAAGCCGTAGTTCGTGAATATGTACACGTGTCGGGAGGAACGAGGCGGTTGAGGGGTGGTGTGCTCCGGCGTGTCTTCCCCAGCCTCGGGGATTGACTTGATGGCGTCCTGGATGTAACTAGATTGTAACGATGTGACGTGATTGTCTAAGACGATGATACTCGAACCCCTGGACCCTACAGCGAACAGGGAGCTGTCTGATAAGGAAGAGTAGAGAATACCTAAAAAGTTGACAGATTTTTCGTCTATGAGATGAAGGTTCTCGTCATCAGTTGAGATCTTGCGAGTGTTGCAATGAGAGTCTCGTCGAACGTTGTCTTGGCAGCTGAGACTTGTCGAGTGTCTCAGTTTGTGAGAGAAGCTACTTCCGGAATGCGCCATCTTGTGAGAGAAGTTGTCAACGGAACTCTTGTCAGTGCGCATGCTCAGTTTGTCGATATAGTCCAGCTGACTGAGATCCACGCCGAAGCTGTCATAGTTACTGTCTCGTGAAGAGACAGCCTTCATTTCTGCTAGCTCCGTGATGTCTTCGTGCAGGCAGGCTCTGTTCTTGCGGATTACGACTTTGCTGTAGTCCTGAGGACGGGGAAGTAAGGAATTTGGGTGAGCCCAAAGAGGTTATATGATACTGGAGCTCGCGGCAGTGACGTCATACGTGTCAGACATGAGGGCCTTCTTACCCTTATCGGCATGGCCGCGTGCCCCCATTTACATGAACAACCTATAAGGTCCCCCATCCCGCTCCACACGAGCTCTTGTATATATAAAACACCACCCTGCTCCCATGTTTCAGTGCAAGCCTTTAGATTTCCTCCTTAGACTAGACCGCCGACATGCCCCGACGTGAGTCTCGAAAAATACCCACCCTCGGTTGAACTGCGCATGTCTTCCCTTGGGGTTCAGCATCCCAGAGTGGGCACACACAGCCCCCATTCGTTTACGTGGGGGACAGGGACATCACAGCCACGAACTCTAGTACTAAATATAACCTCTCTGGATGAGCCAGAATAGCTATTCAAGTACATTTTACAACAGTGCAATAAATGGTGTTAATGACATAGTGGTTAGTCTCTAATGCCATCATTCACTTGAGAAACATATTTTTGAAGCAAAGGTAGAAGATAAGAAAGGAAAAAGGAGACGAAATGCAAGATGAGAACCGGATATAAAATCATGGCTTTGAACTAAAACAACTCGTGCAGGCAGAATGGCAAGAGAAAGGATGTTTTATTGCAGAAAGGTCGGAGATATCCAACTACAGGGACAACTAAGAAGAAGAAGACAAGTTAGACAGTCTTCGCTATTGCGAGCAGTAGACATGACTTGTTTCCCCGTAATAAGAAAAGAAAGGGAGAGTGAATTCCTTTTTTTTTTTCTTTCATTTAACCAGTCTGTCTGAATGGATAGTTTCTACATTAAATGATCGAAATTGCCTCAATTGTGAACCCTTCACTTACAATTTTTACACTTTTTTTTTTGCAACAATGACAGTAAGAAAAAGCTCGTACGTGAGAGTCGGTGAGTGAGGTGTCCTTGAGTTCCTTGACCTGATGACGTGAGCAGTGAGTGGGCACGGGAGTGACAGGCGGCTCATGCAGCAGCGCCGCACAGATGAAGAGATGCAGGTTGAGGCCGGCCACAACGATGAATGAGCCTTTCCAGCTGGAATACAACCGCAACCTTTATAGTTATAGTATTAGAATTATTATGAGAATGAGACGACGTCCTGTTTCAATGTTTCAAAGTTGAAGTATTTTTTTAAACTTCTTCTCGTATTTAAATCTCTCTCTCTCTCTCTCTCTCTCTCTCTCTCTCTCTCTCTCTCTCTCTCTCTCTCTC